TAAACATTTATAATGAAAAAAAACGTATATTTTAAACAAACCAATTAAAAAAATTAAAAAAAAATATTACAAAATGATATTTATACTATAGTTAGTAAAGTCAAAAATAATTATACTTGCATAAAATTTATAGAATTTTCTATAAATTTATTTTAAAAACTCCAAAAATCGATTTAGACATCACAAAAAACCATTGTATTTCTTTTAAAATATAGCCGTATTTTAGTTCACAAAAAAGTTATTAAAAATAATATTCTAACCTCTAATATCCATCTTTCGATAGTTCATGTACTTTTTCTTTATAAGACATAGGAGTTTGATTTAAACCGGTAAAATTATAACAGTATTAATATCACGATTCCCACACAAACAACAATCATATGCGAATTATTGCCAGTGCGAAAAAACAACGCAATGTGAAACGGAGACATCTTTGTTATAACAATGTTTAGAAGCTGGCAACATCGCAAATTGCTTCGTAAATTAGTTTTTTTGCACTATTTTATTGTTATTTCGATTGGCATGATTTTTATTCTATGAGAGTTGAATTACGAAAATAAATCGCGGGATTTTTTTTTACTAATACATATTTTTGTATTAAAAACACAAAATACAAGTAAGTTATTCTGACATAGGCATATTTAATTTATGAAGATTACTTACAGCTTATTTTTCTTAAGAAAAAAAATGTTAAATTGTTTTATTTGAGTTATTTTTATAAAGGATATTAATTAAAAAAAATATGACGTCCATTTGCTCATGTTTACTCTATGGAAATTAATAAGGGCTCCCTTTTAATATCCGCCGTTGTATAATCTATGATGAAATATTGTCGTCAGTTGGCGGTTAAGGCTTTGCGGACATAATGAATATATGCGATACGCGACCATATAAACATTTCTAATCATTGTCTTCTATAATTGCAGTTTATAGTAAACCCTTTAGCTGACAATAGCAATTATATGCCTTGTCTAAATCAAGCTTTGAAGCGTCCAACTTCGAAGACCCCTTCGATCTTGTATGCTACGAACGATTGCCGTTCGCAGCTTGAACCGCTAGAGCTCAGCCACTACTGGTAGCCCGACAAACCATACTTTCAATTTACGAAACAATACCTTATCCATTTGCTACGATTCCACGTCAAAGTAGAAAACTCCTATTTTGATTAATACGAGGGAAAGAGATGGGGTGCCTGGCGACGTGTTACGAATGACTTCCAACCCTGTTGTCGAGTTTTAAGGTTGATTTTTGCATTAATAGTAATGTTTGTTACTGAAATACTGAGCGTGTAGGCGTAGAGCATGAAAAGTAGGCAGTCGTCGGACAGAGCAACGAGTGGAGTGGACTTTGTTCTAATTCTATTTGAACTGTATTTTTTTTATTTTAATTTGACACTTAAACTAATTATGTAACTTATCATTCATACAAGCTGTCTCTTTTATTGTTTTGTGTGGAAGGGTTCGTAGCTTTTTATGTTTTCACGCGGAAAGTAGAAGTAGCTACTATGGTAATTCAAGTGTTGAGTTCTTTTACTTTTTTTATTTTTGATGTGCAACAATAATTTTTTACAAAATAAATATACATTAATAAATTAAAATTCAGATAATTTGACATTTAAAAATTTATTTTCACGCTATTTATTTTATAGATTTAATTAAATTGCCTTTCAAAACCTCTCAGAGTTACAGCTCTCAATTGCCAGTTCTCTTTCCGGGTTCTTAACCGATCATTACATGCTTTATAGATTCAAAAGTACCAGGTACATGGTACTGCAAAGAGGAAGTGCCATGCGTTATAATGAGTTAATTAGATTTTTAAGTGCTAGTACTTTAGGAAGAAAAACGTCCTGTCCTAGTGAGGTATGTAAATATTAAAAATTATGATGTTCCACAATTCTTGTGCATTTTAACGCTTTCACAAATTCTTATATTAATTTTAAGTAACCTATTTAAATACGTTTATCGTACCAGTTATTATTGTTTTTGTAAAATTTTCAATATTTGAAAAATGTAATAAATTTTAAATCGATTTAAATATTTTTGAAAACATATCATTGACTCCATGCATTCTCTTAGGCGATCGGTTTAACAGCATAGGCCGGACAGAAAAGCCTATAGGGGCGGTCCGCAGAGGGTGGAAACCTCGGAAAATTCACGTGCAAGGCCCACCCCTCGGCAACACGTGCCGCCAAATAGCCTCAGTGTACGAACGCCTTTACTAATCATTGCCGTTCCTAAAAAAATACCGCGCGCTTTTGACGTTTCAAACGTCATTTTCAAAAATAGATCGTTGACGTTTGTTATTTATTTTTCTGATTCCTGGTCACGTGACGCGAATTTTATTGCCAGGAATAAAAATTATGTGAAAAGTTTACTTTAAGTGGTATTTAATTAAGTGTGATTTAATTTTTTTTAGTACCAGTATCTGTTATTTTACATATAAAAGTATTTTTTACTTTTTTTTAATAAAAATTGAAATGCATTTAGACATTAGTCTAAACAATTCTAATGTGTTTTTTTAAATAAATATAATTAAACATTTTTTTAATCTATCGCTGGACTTAAGCCTTCGTGATTTTATATCTGATTTTCTTCATATTTATAGGAACAATGCCTAAAAGAAAAGTGAATTTGTGACGGAATAGCACGCGTTATTGTGAATTTTTCGTGTGTAAAAATGACCGGCAAAAGAACATGAGGCGATTTCATGGTTAGTTGAAAATCTTATCATTAAATAGACAATTTCCTTCATTTATTAACGATTTAACTAAACTACCAATTACTTTAGATTAAAAAAGTTTATAACATAATTGAATTATTCATACTATTTTTAAGATATATTCTGTCTAGTACTGAATTTTGTTAACTAACGGTTAACTTAACTTATAGTTATTAACACGCAAAATTAACTAAGAAATTTATTACACATAATAAATACGTTTCAAAAATTTAACTAAATAAATTAGCGTAAAATGAAACAATAACCAATAATTGAATTTAAATAAATTTAATCTTTTCAAATATAACTTTTTCCTTGTTTAAATATTGTTTACGAATAAGAAAATTCTATAATATTAACACATATAAAGAGAAAATAAATTATTTATTAGAGAAATAAAATAATTACTAATCTACTATATTAATAAAATATTTCTATGGACATTTGAAATGATATAAAGTAAATTTTTTGCTAAATTAGTTACTAACATCATATGTCACTTAGAAGTCATAGAACCATGAAATGACAACTATAGTTATTTTTATTGTTTCTTTTTAGACCTTAAATTTATTTTTATAATTTAATTTTACCTCAACATAATTTTAAATATTCGTTAAAACGTAGGTCTCCACTTCATATCGCTTAGATTTTTTATAACTCTACCTTATTACTTTTAAATATACTTTTATTATTAATTTAAAAATAAAAAAACAGATTACTATAATTTTTAAATGATTTTAAAAATCACAGTATAAGCAGTGAATAAATAGATACATTTAAATTAAATTTAACTAAACGCGTTAGAAAAAGTTTTCAGCTATCTCCGCTATATAATGGAATATTTATTAAATTAGAAAAAATACATCCTGTAATTTTATTCCGTGTAGTAATTTTTTTTAATATATTGAATTAATCTGAGTACTAGTAACAACTTACAATTATATTTTTAGGGAACATAATTATTTTTTTATTTATTTTTTATTATGTACCAATAAAAGGAACTTTAAAATATAGCAGGAAATCACTGATTTACTTTAGAAAACCTTTAATATTTCTGTAATATTGTATTACTAAATTTCTACATACATATATAATATATCACCCGGCTCACCCGGTGAAATACCACGATCACACAGAAGACAGGCGTCAAGTGGATGCAATTCCGCGTTTCGTCTGATGAGTGCGTCCCGGAGGCCTAATTTAGTCCTCTTTCCCTTCCCACCCTTTTCTTATACGGAAAGGATGGGAAGTGGAAGCTGACTATCCGGATGAGAGGATGCATGGAAAGGGAAAATATTTTCTTTCTGTGCATCCTCTCCTCAGTCGATTAAAGGTAGGCAACGAATATGCAATTACGTATGTCTATGGGCAACGGTCACTTCGCTATTACAGCGATTTCAGGTGACCGCTCGCTCGTTTGCCACCTTATGATATAAAAAATATATCTATGATTATGACGTTTTCTAGAAAACTAAATAGAATAATGATATAATAGAATTTGCCTTATTAGTAGATTAAAAGATGTTTACGGAATCAAATACATTATTTACTTTGAAAATCCAAATGATTCAGTGTAACGAGTCATTATTATATTGATTGTTTTTAATTAAAAAAAACCTCTATTCATCTCCGTTAATTAAACAGCAAATTTAATTAAAGTCTTGTGCACTTTCATTTAATTAATTAAAAAAAATATATAATTAATTAAAATTATTAAAATTTAATTATTAATAAATTTAATTAATTAAATTTAAGTAAAGTCAATCGACGTAAGTCATTCATTGGTTAAAGAAAAAACAATGACAGCAATATTTTTTGTAAAATTGTTTCAGAATTTTAAAATAACATATAGATAATTGTTTTTTATTATTTCAATTAAGTTTATTTATTTTATTGACTAAAAAACATAGGATTAATCATCTCATCTACATAAATGGCTAATAACTCTACTATCATTTTGAATAGTGTCTGGTTTTTTTAGGTTTTTAAGTTACAGGCATCCGAATGATTGATTTGAATTATGAAATACAGCGTTTTATTATTTTCCATTTCAATTCCATAGTTTTTCTATTCCATTCCATAGACTAAGACTTAACTATTCTTTAAGATAAATACATCGAGTGGAAGAAATTAACTCGATTTAATCAGCTTTCTACATTTTAAGAAACTCTAATAAAATGTTACAAGTAAACACGCATATATTGTTTTTAAAAAGAAACTTCCAAAACATATATAAAAAAGCAAATACAAAATATTTTACAAAAAAAAACTTATAAACTTACCTTTATGGTTAAATATTCGGCCTGAGACATACACAGCACACTTTTCATCCCACGACGAAACATTTCCACATGCAACAAAAAAAAATGAAAAAACTACATTTTCATCCATACATCGAGATACTGTTTGATGACGTGTTACAAAAAGACGATCAACCACCGTGCAGCAAACAAATTGTAATTTGTCACAGAGTTTTTGCCGCTGCGTTGATTTTTGTCTTTTGCGCGCAATTCAAAACCTTTGTTACAGCGTAGTGCGAAAACTTTATAATGAGCGCCTAGACTCGCTGTTTCTTTTAAAAGAGATGTGGGAACATTTTTAAGAAATTATCATAGCAAGTCGCACTGATAAACTCAGAAAATGATAGGCGTCATTTACTTTATCACGATTTAAGCGATTTTTGAACCCCAATTTTTGGCAAATGATCAGATTGTCTTCTCTCTCATCCTCTTTTCTAGAATCCCTAAGGCCTTCATGGCCCAAAAGATCAAATATGGTTACGTTAAGTAAGAAATTTAGATTAGTTACACTCTATAACACAAAAGTAGGCCTCTAAAGCGGCGTTAGAGTATAATCGTCTTGACTTTGACATTTGCTTGACAAGTTCACGTAAGGATATTCATTATGCATCTGCGTACCCCACTAATTTCTATTCACCCTTCTAACTCGACCTCTTCAATCTAACACATAAAGAATTCGAAACGACAAAAAAACACCATTGTTCTGTAACAAAACGCATTAATAAAAATTCTATTCTAAATTCAAACGGCCCATTAACCGGTTCCCACGGCGGCCATGTTGCTCGTCCGCGGCCGCCATTGGTCGAGGCCATGGCTTAGAATTAGAATGTGTAGACCCCACCATTTGGCGAGCGGCAAATTATGTTGCCGTTTTTTAAATACGTTCAAATAATGGTAGCAGCTGTTCGTATCGTCATCGGCCGTTAACAATGGCATTAGAAAAAGAAAGAAAATTACCTGCCTCTCATGAACTTCTGACAGTCATTTATGTCATATTTGGCCAAAGACCATGAGAAGGTATAACTGGACCTTAAACTAAAACCTCGAGCGAAAACGTGACCCATTTCAATTCATATAAAAACATACCTACTTGTGACAAACAAATCAGGCAACCCAAAAAAAGAAAATTAACATTTAACATGCACAAATATTAAGACATGAATGAAAGTAATCTAATAAATACTTCATTGTTAAAACTTGAATCATACAAGCCATAAGTAAAAACAAGATTAAAAAAAAAGAAATGTCAAAAACACCTTAACAAACTTAAAAAGGTAATATTTGGAAGAGCTTCAAGCGACGATATTCATGAACCAAACTCAACTCTGACAGAATTGTTTCAACATATTTGCGCATTATCATTTTAAAAGTACATGTAATTTTATTCTGTAATTCCTCAAATAAAATATATTTTCCTGTTTCCTTGTATGGTATGTGAAACGAATGACGTACGGTACGAGTTTCTTCTAACAGCGATATTTTTTTTCGCTCGCAAAATGTCAGAATTTCCATTCGATACTGTAATACCAAATCAATTAACTACCACCATATTTGTTCATGGCTCGCACTGATACATAGTCTATAATTTACCATATCCTTTATTAATCAATTACCTTTGTTTTTCATTAACTACGCCATTAAATACTTTTGAAATTACCTCATATTTTTCTCATGAATTTAGTCCATCTAACAAAAATCACAGATAATATTTCTATGAAGCAAAACCTATACAAATCGTGAATTTTTATACTTTTTTTTCTCCTACATCAAAAGCTTCTGTATTCTGTACAGTTACCAAAAAAATCCGCATTTTTCAATAGTTGTATAGAACATTTCTGTTGTTCTGGTTTTTTTTTGTAAAACAAGCGATATTTTTAATAGTCGACTAAAATATCTGTATTCGCCACAATTTCTATAAAAAAGTATATACGTGATCAGTTCAAAAACTTCTTTGTAGCTATTGTAATAAAAACACTAGTGAGCTCTAGTTAATCCTAGTTATATTGAAAAAAAACAACAGTTAACTGTTGAGGTTTGGTCTTCCACAACTCCACAACTATCGCATATTTTGGCTATAGATTCCTAATATCAAAATAAATTAAGAACGCACATTAGTCGTATGATTATTTTAATAATAATTCAAGAGGAAATTAAATATACATTTTCATATCTTAATATTAACTATATATAATTCAATCGCTGACCCAAAAATAAAAGTTAACTTTAAAAAAAAATCTTTTTTAGTCTTCTTCTTCTTCTTAAAGTGCTTCTCTAACTAGAAAATGTTGTCGGCCAGTTCTATCTGTATGTTCCATAATTCCTTTTCGGAAATTCCGTGTGAATTCGATTTAATTTGCTAGTGCGCAATAGTGCATCTTGTTTCCTTCGTATATATAAATATAGTTAGTTTAGTTCACGTGTCGGCTAAACAATCTGTTAGTTAATATTCAAGGTGGACGTGATTAGCGAAACGTCAAGGTGAGCCCAACTGGTCGCTCCGGTGTACTTTTTGTTATGTGTATTTTGTTTTTAGATGCATACTAGTTATGTAAGTGGCCAGTCGTAATTTTTTAGTTCGTAATACCTCTTTTCTATTAGAAAAAAAATTGTTTGAGTATTTTTGGAGGGAAAAAGTAAAAAAAAGTAGTGACGTCAATTTTTCAAAACGCATTTCCGCGTTCCATTTACACATTATTCTAAACAAAATGTAGAAAAAATCGACATTTTTATTTCTGTATTTGCAAAAAAATCCGTACGCATTCTTAATTTCCTAAGCATGTCATATTTACAGTACGATATTTCTAAATTTCAACTTTACATTCGATATCGTTCTCGTTTGCCAGTAGTAAAAAATAACTCTTACAAAAAAAAAGAAAAAAAAACATTTTAATAAAATATGAAGTATTGTGTCCTTTACGGGATTTAAAAGATATGTGACTTTTCTACATACTGTCATTAAGGGATGTAGGCCTTTGTCCCTTCCCTTTCAACTTATGCTCCGATGGAAAACTGAAAATTTGTTTTCTATACAAAATCCTACTAAAATAGGGAACGCAACAGCGACTGTTCATGCGTTCCTCCTCACCAAACAATAATATTGTTTACAATTCCTCTTGTCGACGTCGAAAAAAAAAAGATTCAAACAAAAACTTTATTACATTATCTGTAACATACTTGGTCTACATTTATAAATATATTTCAAACAATAATGGTGATATTCAAATGGCAGAAATGTAAAAACTTTTGCCTGAATTTTATTCAGATTGTGGCCTGCGTTAACTTTTATGATGATTTTAACTGGCTGGCAAGAATATCTTTTTTAAAATATGTTTATAAGACCACCACATATTTAAATTAAAAAAAAACTTTCCATTATCATATAAAGTTACACCTGTATTAGTCAATTTATTATAAATATTATTTCAGACTAATCTTGCTCTTACTAATATTATAAATGCGAATGTTTAGATGGATGGATGTTTGTTTGTTTGAAGATATCTCCAGAATGGCTGAACGACGCCAGCTGGCAAAAAGTTTTGGCATAGACGTGGAAAAGTCTGAAAGAACACGTAGGCTAGAAATTAAGTTTTTTTTTTTTAACACCGCGGACAGAGTCGCAGGCGACAGCTAGTGCTATATAATACAACATAACCGAACATTTTTCTTACTCGATTTAAAACAAATTTTCCTTATTATTGACGTATTCGTGAAACAGGCGGAAAACTTTTCGAGAAACGACAGGAAAATGAAATCAAATAAAAAAAAACTAGCCTTCAATAGATGATGATGAAAATGACAGTTGAATTGCGTAATACAGAGACAAATTAAATTAGATTTACTACATTGCATTATCATGCAGTGGTTTTTTATTTAACCGATTTCAAAAAGGAGAAGATTTTCAATTCGTCTGTACGATTTATGTAAATTAGTTTTCAACACAGATATTGAATCCTTTAGAACGGAAATAATATTAATAACTACAAAAAAAACACCCTTTGTAATATACACGTTTCTCAATTTTGAAAACAATCCTTTACACTGATGAATGAATGGAAAAGTTCCTAGAAAACTTGCAAATTAAAGGGATTAAGTTAGCAAGTGAATTAAATTAATATTATAAAAGCGAAAGTTTACATGGATAAATGTGAGAAGAAATCTCCAGAACGGCTAAACGAATCTTTCAGGCAAAAAGTTTTGACATAGATGTAGAACGTTTGGAAGAACACATAGACTATTGACTAAGTTTTTTTTCGGCGCTGCCGGAGTCTCAGACGTCAGTTACTTTCTATATAATTTTGTGATTGTTTAATCAAATTAACATTGCTATCTTTACTAATTTTGAAAAAAGGCAAGACAGACGACAAACTGAACATAGAATGGCATCATATTTATTTCCCCTGACACAGAGCTCACCTTGAAAAGCTATTTATGTTTCCTCGTCAAACGTGTCACCGCGCTTTTTTGTTTCTTTTTTTACTTCAATAATTTTATTATTCGCATGCAACTATTGTTATGGCCAGTTATTTACTGATAATGCTGGCATGTTTTATAACATATGTGTTCATTTTTAATCTATCATCTAAAAGTAATTTTTAACTGTTATACAGAATTACAAATTAATCTGCTATAATATTAAATTATTATAATAAAAAGAAATAACACGTACAGAGTAATAAAAATTGGCAATTTAATTGTAAACTTTAGACCTCTTTCTTTGGACTGGCCGAAAAGAAGTCACCGAATTGTTGATTAAATAAAAAAGAAAACTAAACATATATTTTAGTCTATGGCCATAGCCAGTGTACCACAGAGGCTCTAATTACTAGCATGCTTCGACGTAGAAAGTCTACACGCCAGCACTTTATTACTATATGCTGAATCTAGGTTGAGTGCTTTCAAAATTTCGTTGCCAAAGATTTTTTTATTCATATCTCGCACCTGAAAAATGTTGAGCGATATATTTTTCATAAATTTCTTTAGAAAATACATGTGTGTGTATTTTTAATCACTCCATTTTACCAT